GAGAGAAGCTAAAACTGGAGAGCTATGATCTCTCCTACTAACTCCCATTAAGACTCTGGCAGCAGCATTTTGGATTAACTGTTTTTTTAAGTTTTGGACACCCAGATAATAAACCATTGCAATATTCCTGTCTAGATGTGATAAATGCATGAACCAGTTTTTCATAAGTAATGATGATGTTGGCATCTTAGTGAACATTTAACATGCCTTCACCTGATACTGAATAGGTGCTATAACACTCGTCTCACTGCCTGGTTGGGTTGAGATGGAGTGAAAAAACCTGTCGTGTTGCAAGTAAATCCTATAATCTAGCAATCAGATATTTTATTTGTAGCTGTAAAGCCCTGAGCGTTAGCTAATCTCTTATTCACACTTGCAGTACAAATGTGTGGATTAATTCTAGGTAACTTTGTAGTAAAAAAAAAAAAAAAAAAAAAGGCTCAAGATTTTAAAAAGAGATGCATCCACTAAGTTTTATCTGACTTTCTCAGTCTGGTCTATACAGGGGTCACTTTGGTCTGTTTTGTTTAGTATGTTGTTTAATTTTACATTAGTTGTGCTCCTGGTGCAACTCCCCAATAGACATCTTGGTTGCTCTTTACACTATTTAAGTGTTAGTTACCATATAGTTTGTCCCACAAAAATTAAATGTAGACATTAATTTATAACTCAAGTTCCAGGGACAAATCTTAAAATATTTCATAGCAACTCTATTAAAATATTTTGCAGGTCAGGATTTTGGTTTTCTCTGTGCAGTCTTTAAATCCAATGAAATTTAAAAAAAAAGTTGCACATTCACAATTACCATGTATCTGGGTAAATCTTATGTTACTACCTTGAGTTCTGATTGCAGCGCATATACAAATTGTTCTCCTCTTTGGATGTTTTATCTTTTTGTTGCCATAAAATTCAGCCCTGGTCAATATAAATTGGCATTTTTGATTAAAAAAAAAAAAAATAAAAAAACATTTACAAAAAGATAAAAATAAACCTTCAATGTCAAAGTGAAATCAAATTTCTACAGAGTAATGCTAATTATATGAAAATATGTAATGTAAAATAAGTGACTGCATAAATATTCACACTCTTTACATTTAGCACCTTTGGCTGCAATCACAGCACTGAGTCTGTGTGGAAAAGTCTTAATCAGTCTTGCACATTCAGACCCTGGAATTGTTGCATCCTTCTTCACAGAACTGCTCAAGCTCTGTCAGGTTGCATGAGAATCAGGCATGAACAGCACTTTTTAAGTCAAGCCACAATTTTTCTATTGGATTCAGGTCTGGTCTATGACTTGGTCACTTAAAAACTCTGACTTGAAACCATTTGTGTGTCGTTTCCTTGTATGCCTCCGGGTCTTTGTCTTACTGGAAAATAAGTCTCCCAAGAGGTCATTTTTTTTTGCAGACAGGATCAGATTGTCCTTCAGGATTCCCCCGTATTTTGGGTTACTTATTTTGCCCTCTATCTTTAGAAGTCTTCCAGGGCATTATGCCAAAAAGCATCCCCATAGCATGACACTGCCACCACCATGCTTCCAAGCTGGGATAGTGAGTTTGCAGAGATGTGCCATACTGCAATTTGGTAAAACACATCCTCTACCCTCTGGTGCATCCTACTTCACTAAATGTAAGACTACCAGCACCAAGCGGATGAACTTCTGTTGAATTAGCAGAGTCACTTTAAATGGGGGTTAATATTTATGCAATCATTTATTTTACATAATTATTATTTTTTTTTATTATTGGCATTACTTTGTAAAAATCAGTTTTCACTAAGGTTTTTTTTTTTTATGTCAAAAAGGCTCATTTATATTGACCATGACTGATTTATAACAGCAGTAAAATGGTGAAACATCCAAGGGGTGTGAATACTTTTTATGGGCACTGTACTGCATGAATGTAACTGATGCAAAATATGATGCTGTCTTTTTTTATTTTTGTTTGTTCAAAAAGCTCCTTGAACAATGTACAAAACAGAATAAAATAGACCTTTAGCAGGTATATTAGGGGTGTAAGTTTGGTACATACTAAAAAAAAAAAAGAAATCAATCAAGGAATTTTCATTTAGTCCCAAAGATACAAAAAACGGATTAGATACAATATATATATATTCTTTTTAAGTCAGTTGGTTTTGGAAAGATGAAACTAAGATCAGATTGCACCAGAAAATATGAAGAAGTTGTGCATTGAATGATCCAAAACATATGAAATCTTCTTTAAAACACTTGTAAAGATAGTGTGATGGAATGGGCAACCATCGATTCTAATATAGCTTCATCACAAGTGTTTATTGATTATATGACAGAAGAAAAAGGCAGCTAAATGAATTCTGAAGTGAATGGGATGCACTGTCTGCTCAGATTCAGGCAAATCCAACAACCTTATTCGAACAAGACTTTACAGTTTGTACAGACAATGACCCAAAGCAGGTTAAAACAATTACTTCAGGTTATTAAGGTAAAATGGTGAAGTATTCTTCCATGGCCAATCAATCAAGATATATGAATCTGACTGTGCTGTTTTGAAATTATTAATAAATAATTTATTAATTTGCCCAATAATACTCAAACAAGTGAAATAGCAATAACACAATTTAAATTATTGTGTTGTGTAAGAACATTGGTCCACTTTTTTAGTGCAGGAAACTATTCAACGAAAGAGAAGAAACATGACAGTGACATGACTGAAGAGATGAGACAGGAATATAAGGAGAAGCAACAAAGAGCAAAGAGGGAGGCAGTTAAGGCAAAGCAGAAAGTGTATGATAAGTTGTATGGGAGGCTGGACACTAAAGAGAGTGAGAATGAGTTGCACTGATTGGCAAGACGGTAAGATCAGGCTGGAAAGGATGTGCAACAGGTTAGGCTTTTTGAAGATAAAAATGGTAATGTTCTAACAACCAAGGAGAAGAAGACGGTAAGATGGAAGGAGGACTTTGAGGAGCTAACGAATGGAAAGAATGAAAGGGAAAGAAGAGTAGACGTCATAGAAGCTGTGAACCAGGAAGTGGGAAAGATTAGTGAGGGTGAAGCTCGGAACGCTCTGAGCAGAATGATGAAGGGGAAGGCAGTAGGGCTTCAGTGGACCAGTGGACATTTGGAAATGTCTTGAGAGATTGCAGTGAGATTTTTGACTCAAATATTCAATAGCATATTTGAGGGTAAGAAACTGCCTAAGGAGTGGAGGAAAAGTGTGCTAGTGCCCATTTTTAAGAACAAGGGTGATGCATAAAGTTGTAGCAACTACAGGGAAATTCAATTGATGAACCATACAATGAAAATATGGGAGAGAATTGTGGAAGCTAAACTTAGATGAGAGGTGACTATTTGTAAGCGGCATTATGGTTTCATGCCAAGAAAGGGCACCACAGATACCATCTTTGCTTTGAGGATGTTGATGGAGAAGTACAAAGAGGGTCAGAAAGAACTCCATTGTGTCTTTGTGGATTTAGAAAAAGCATATGACATGGTGGCGAGGGAGGAGGTGTGGTATTCCATGAGGAAATCTGAAGTGGCAGAGAAGTATGTCAGACTGATATGGGACATGTATAAGGACAGCAGGACAGTGGTGAGATGTGCTGTAGGAGTGCCAGATAGCTTCAAGGTGGAGGTGGGATTGCATCAAGGATCTACTCTGAGCCCATTCTTGTTTGCTCTGGTGTTTGACCGACTAACAGATGAGGTCAGGCAGGAATCAGTGCGTGGACTATGATGTACGCAGATGATGTGAACTGTGGTGAGAACAGGAACAGGTGGAAGATAACTTAGAGAGGTGGAGGTATGCACTTGAAAGAAGAGGAATGAAATTCAGTTGTAGTAAGACAAAGTACGCGTGTGAAGGAGAGGGAGGCTGGTGGAACAATGAAGCTACAAGGAGTTCAACTTCAAGTACTCGGGGTCAACGGTCCAGGAAAATGGAGTGTGGTAAAGCAGCAAAAAGAGAGTCCAAGCAGGATGGAGTGGGTGGAAAAAAGTTTCAAGAGTGATTTGCAACAAAAAAGTGGCAGCAAAGGTCAAAATAGAATTTTACAAGACAGTGGTGAGACCAGCTATATTGTATGGCTTGGAGACAGTGGCACTGACAAAAAAAGACAGGATAAAGAACTGGAAGTGGTAGAAATGAAGATGCTGAGGTTCTCTTTAGGTGTGACAAGGATGGATAAGTTTAGGAATGAAATAAGCAAAGGTAAAACACAGGTTGAACAACTGGGAGATAAAGTTAGAGAGGCCAGACTGAGATAGTTTGGACAAGTTCAGAGGAGAGCCAGTGGGTATATTGGTAGAAGAGTGTTAGAAATGCAGCTGCCAGGACAAAGAGAAAGAGGAAGGGCAAAGAGGATGCAATTAGAGAGGACATGGAGGTAGATGGAGTGAGGACAGAGTGAGATGAAGGAGGATGACTCGCAGTGGCTACCCCTGAAGAAGGAAAGCTGGAGGAGGAGGAGGAGGAAGCTTTCAGAGTTTCAGGTTATGTTTTGGAGGCTGTTGCCATGGCACCTGGACAAACACCTGATATAATAAATAAATAAAATTAAAAATGGTAAACTACAGCTACATCAAAGATATAGGATGTGTCAGGACTGCAGGTCTTCACACTAAAGTGACCTCTTTTAAATGCCACACTGTAGACTAAACCAATCAGAGCAGTTCATTTGAGCCCTCTGCTGGATACAGCATCAAGTGGGGCCAATGAAAGGGCACAAATAAGTGAGTTTTAGGCACATCAGCAAAGCGAGGGGCTGAAGCTGTTGGCGGCAAGGAAGGGTGGGAGGATTACAAAATAGATGTGAAGGACTAAGCAGGGGTGATATTTGTAGGTGTGAAGGGTAAAATCATTACCATACAAAAGAGTCATCATCCTAATTGGAGACAGGTATTTAACTTGTTCATAGTGTGTACTCCACCAGTAAGGATACGTAGCTATTATAAAATGTGTTTCCATGAGTTTTTCTGTAAATCCCATAGACACCGTTTATGGTTGTTGTTGAAGTGTCCTTACTTAAGTGAGAGGGAGTAGTCGTTCTTGCTGGTTTCACTGTTTCTTACAAGATAGCTGGCTTCCTTGCACAGGCTGAGCAAAGACTCTGCATCTGTCCGGCTGATGGCTCCATGATACCAGCTGTGCTCGACATCAAAAAGAAGAGATGGACAAAAAGAATGGGAAGTAGATATGTATTAGAATAAAGACAAAGTAAATCAAAGCAAAATGGAGTTTGAAAAATAAAACACCAAGATCAGACTCACAACTGGCTTTCCAGAGACATCGTGGGGTCAATCCTCTCCCCCAGAGAGGAGTTGCTGTGGTCCAGTGAAGTCATTTTGGTGTTGACCAGACAGCCACTTGAATGGCGCTGCAGAGGGCGGGTTTTCCCATCCTTTGTGGGTGACATCCGACATTTTTCCATATCATCGAATTGGACTGTGTGAAAAAGAAAGAAAAAAACAGCTGAAAAGATTCTATTCTGAAAGAACAATCTGTCTTTTGAAATATAAATTCATAAAACCCAATATTTAACATACTGTGCAGGCACTTTAACAAGAAGTCAAATTAAGGTCACTTGTGAGTGCAACAGGCAGCAGATATTTGTAAAGCTTCCAATATAATCTAACGTCACATGTGTTTGTTGAAGTAGGCAAGTGCAAACGTGTGAGAACTACAATCCAGGTTGTGCTTTTGCAAAGAGACACCTACACAGTGAATTTGTGCAACACATCCAACTGAAGGACGTGCACACACTATGGGAGAGACAATAAATCTGTACTTCCCCACTGTGTCACATTCCAGTGAAAGAAAAAAAAATAACACACACATGTAAACATATTTTATTACATTCAAACCACTCCATGCATCCATGTCAAGTATTTGCGAGCGTGTTCACTCTTAGAGGACACACAAATGTGCAAAGAAGCACATCTGAAATGCCTGTGTGAGCAAATATCCACATTTGGAAACATGCACTGAGACCATTCACACATAAAAGTTGTGCAAGTTAAACAGTTAACTGGCTGTTCAAATCCCACGGTCAGCTGTGGGCATGACAAGTGTTTTTTTGGCAACTTCCCAGGAAAGTGTTTGATGATACACTGGGGTATGAGATGACCTGTGACATGACAGCCAGAGAATACACGGAGTATTATCTCTGCCAAATCAGCATGCATGTTTATTTACAGAGGCAAACATAAGAGAGACAGATAAAGAGAATTCCCATCACTATGAAAGGGCAACACAGGCGGAGAGATTGAAAGACTGGACAGAGGAGGTTGGAGTGGTGATCATGAGAGGTGGTCAGCTGTGTGAGGGGGAAATCCAGCCATTTTTCCACAGTCATCCATCACTATAATTGATGTCAAAACACCCCAAGCTTTGGGAAAAGAAAACTATTTAGAGCCACTGACACCCTTCTCAAGCAATAGCAGAGGGGTGGTTTGCTGCATCAGACGTATGACAAAGCTTTAGCTGGGATTGATGCTGCTTTAAGGGTAAAGAAGCTGGGCCTCTGATGGAAGGGGTTAATGCAGCATGAAACTTCACACTGTCTGTTTGCTGTCCACAATCACTAATGGTCAGTCTTGCACCCAGTGTTTAATTACCCAGCCTGACCAGACAGACAGACAAACAGGCACTGTGATCCTAACAGCACGTCAATGCAGACGGACCTACACAAGTCTAGACTCTGCATTCCACTCAAGAGGATTGCATTACACTGTACAGGTTGTAAATTGGCCAAGTGCTCCTGGCTCACACTGAGCTGAAGGGTTGGTGATTCAAATCAATCACTCAGGCTACATGAGACTAATTTTAAATTAATTTAAGATAACTTAAGGAAAAAAAAAAAGAAATAAACACCAATGTCCTGTGATGTACTTGCAACCTGTCCAGGGTGTCCCCCACCTCTCGCACAGTGACGGCTAGACTTGGGAGCCAGTGACCCCCACGACTCGAAAATGAAAAAGCGGGTAAAGATAATGGATGGATGGAAAACACCAATGTTTCTTTGGTAATTAACTATATTAATTATAGTAAGTAACTATAGTAATTAACTATACTTCTTGTTTTTAGTATTTTACATCACTTTTTAATGTATCTGTTGTTTTGTTTTATTTTCATATAATTTCTTCTATTTATTCTTTTTCCCCACTTTATGCTTTTTATGATTGTCTACTGTTGTCTGTACCTCAACTGTATTCTTTGCTTAAAACAGGTCTCTCTTGTAAATGAGTCCTCGAGGCTCAATGAGACTAACTTGTATAAATAAAGGTTAAATGAATGAAAAATGTGAACAGTAGGTAGAAATCAGTAATTCTAAGGGTTTTATAATCTGGTCTGTGGTAACTAATTGTTTTTTTATGTTTACTCAAGCATGAAGCATTTTTGAGCATTTCAGTTTCCATCAGTCATCATTTCAGCTGTTTTTGCAGCAGTCAAATCAACATAAATATTACAGAATAAATCTTAGCCCTTTGGACCTAAAAAAAAAAAAGACATGCTGCAAAAATGGACAAAACAATAATGTATATTAGTAAAGCATTATTTTAGTTCTCCATATCCTTTTCTTGTAATGGACGTGACTGAACGTGATCCATTAGCATCTTATGTCAGACATAGATTGCTGCTGGTTTATGTCCAACCACTAGGGGGCTCCCGTTATGCTCCACACTCAACCCTGGGTTGAACTCCTTGGCCTTGAACTCACTGATGCGTTTCCCTAAACATAAACTCATGGAAATGATTATTCCAAATGGCTGATTGTTATCTTGGCCTCTGCACTCCTGTTTGTTATAGGGTCTATGTCTAACTCCGACAATGACAGCCACATTGTACCACTGCATGACAGCTGGGTAAATTGTGGGTCTAACCTCAGACCCGTGGAAGAATTTGAGCTGCTGCTCCATTTCCCGCAGCGTTATGCTTAGGCTGCAGACAGTCAAATGATGCTCCTGTGTTGCATGTAAGTGGATCCGAAAGACATTATAGGCTCTCTATTCTATCATACAATTCATCTGAGCCTCATGCTGATGACTGGAAACATAAAGCAAGGCAGACAAAAATACTGTACATGTGTTGGGGTGAGAAATGGCGTTTCCATGGAAACTGACCATGGGGACACAGGAGATGCATGTTTGCTCCACTCAGCCCCTGTCAACGCTGACAGATCACAACATGAAGATGGAGCCAATTGCTCTCCCCACTTCGCTTTCAATTTCACTCTTCCTGTTTGCATATGTTCGGTCCCACTTCTCACCCTCTTCTTCTCCCCGTCACACTCTCTTCATCTCTCCATGTAACAAACTCTGAACCTGTCTCTTGAGCTCTAAATGTCTTTTACTCTGTTCACTCCTGCTTGTCAGTAATGGAAGAAAATGGTGTGAAAGAATGTGTCTAAAATAAAAGAAAGGTAGAGAAATTTATTTGCATGTAATGCCAGAGTCCAACTGACCATTAAAGCTATTTCTCTGGATTATAGAACTCATTATCGTGACCATTTTGGTATTTTCCCCACACAGTCCATCGCCTGACCTCAACTCTTCACATGTTCATCATTCTTCTAAAAGTAATTCTCCCTCTTGTCAAATTGCATCAATCAGGGCCTTTTGTGACCTTGGGTAAACTTTTTTTTCTTGGTTCCACCATCAAATGGTTTAGCGGCTTGTCTTTGGGGAGCTCATTCAATCAACCTTACCTTTCAGAGCCGAATCTTTTCCACAGAAAGTGAGCATAGCTCCAGAAGAAAAAGCATTACTCTGAAGAAAAGCAAACTAAAGCCATCATTATATTTGTTCAAGTGTGAATGGACTCATGTCTGCGTTGTTTGCCAGCCTCGCCTAAAATAGCTTCGAACTGTTGCAGAGTTGGGGTTTAAGGCTGAATACAAGTGGGAACGAGGCGAACCAATTCCCTTCTCGCTCACTCTCAGGAGCGCACGGTCCGAGACATGGCCGACAGGAGATTGACAGGAGGGTTTGGCTCACAGGAGAACAAAAGGCAGCTTAAGAAGTATGGGAGTGTGAAAACATGCTCACACGCACGAGCACATGCACACGAAACTTCCCCACAGACACACTAAAACGTACAGGGGTATCTGGGTTTGTTATCAGCGCTGCGGCTTGTAAAGTGCAGCAAATGGAATCTGTGCATCAGATTGAACTGTCAGTGAGATGGTGACTGATGGCTGAGAGACCTGTCCCCTTCCTGCATGTAGATTCCTTCAGAGAAAGCTATAAAGAAGCAAAGAGGAAAATAGTGGAGGAGAAGGGTTTCTGTGAAAGCAAGCTGATTTGTTTGGAACCAGATAAACATAAATGTCAAAAGGACATTTCCATGATTAAAGCAAAGCCTATCAACAGGATGAGAAATTGCAATACAGAGCTGGACAGAGCTCAGCCTATTACAAAAAGAATGCCACGGGGACAATGATGGGATGTCTTACAGTTGCCTTTAAACTGCACAAAAAATCCTAAAAATGGAAGTAATATAAAAAAAGGAATGGGACATTTTTAAAGGCCAAAACAAAGATAAAGCAACATTTACTGCCAATGACTCGACTACCCCCCATCCCCAGCTGCACATACTACTGAGCAATTTTCTCTAATTAAGTTGGCTAATTAATTCTCATTTGCTAATGATACTCTTATCAAAAAGGATGACTACTCTGAGGGCTGATGTGTGTCATTGCCTGCTGCATTGTGAGGTGAAAATTGAGTTTTCTAGTTAGGATGTGTGGAATGATTAACAGGTCTGCTTTTTTATTGGAACCCACTGCAAACAAAAGCATACAGAATAGTATGACAACCCAGTAATTTGTAGTTTTAAAAAAGGAAGCATTAAAAAAAAACCAACCACTTTTCTGTTGATTATGATTATGCGCACCAGGAGCTTAAATAATAATTTCTTAGATGGCTGTGAATAAATTGTTTGAGAGCACCGCTGCTGATGAATCTATAAAGTCAAATCTCTGAAGATTCCTCCATCTAGAAATATGCTCTATTCTTTTATAAAGGTTTCAAAATGAAACTCTAATTAGGTTTTCCAAGACAAAGGAATGAGCCTCCAAAGTGCCAGTTTAGTGAATCTGTTTAAAACTCAATCTGTATATCTTTCAATTACTTTTTTTCAAACGTAGAGTGAAAGAGAAATGCTTTAAAGTGTGAATAATTAATCCATACAAAAAACAAAGGGAACGGGTCTTTTATATGCACAGACAAATGTGCCCCCATTTACATGTAGATGTGATATCTTCTCTTCCAATCTGCATTTCCGTTTTGACAATGAGCCTGATTTGACAAGGCCATCACACTGGATATTGTTCTCCACAAGAACAAAACTATTGGGAAAGACATTTATAAACACAAAGATCATTTGATTTTAACTCTGTCTCAGCCAGACCGGCCCAGTCAGGGTTCAAATCTAAAAGTAAATAA